TCGAGGGAGGGAGAGCGGGATGAGTGCCAACTACTAATGCTAATGGAAGCTCCTTTATTGCTCCTGCAACTCTCGAACTATAGGAAGGAAAGCACCCACCCGGAGAACCGAAAATTATACATGTAATGAATGTTTGATTTTGGGTTATTTAACCAAGATTTCAATAGCCTCGACATAAAGCAATATAACCAGAAGTAGGGTTTCATGAAGTGATGAAGATAAACTAGTGATTAAAATAATTTTAAAATAAAAATAATATTCCCAAATCCAAGTAGTAGCCAATGGTCTATATGTGTAGTCTCTCTCTGCCAATCTAATAAATGGTAAAACTTTCGAGGAAGAAAAATCCTTAAGAAAACTCTAGTTTTGGATTTCCTAAATGTAAACTTGAGATGCTAAATGAAATTTGAGACATGTTCTTCATTCGGAATATTCTTCCATGGAAAATCCCCCGTCTTCAATCTCTCTGTTCAATTGCTCAACTTCTGCTTTGCTACAATGATGCTGGCAATAAGCTCCATTGCTTTCAAAAGCTTTCACAAGCTTGAAGAACAACTGCTTCATACCATTATCGCCTTTATGTTTCAGCATTTGATCTTTATAAATCAAGAGAATCCGGTGAGCTCTCTTTCGAAAATGCCCCAGCACAAAATAACGGTAATCACCTGGAGAAAACCTGAGCATGACAAGCATGGCCTCACAGGATGACATGAATACCTCATTGTTATATTTTGAGGATCTCTCTTTAGAAGAGCACACAAAACTAATAGACTCGTTCAGATAAGGCTTATCATTCAGAATCAAACGTTGGATGGAGAGAAGAACCCTTGATACATCAGATTGTTCCGGGTTCCATGATTGTTGTTTTCCTCCGAACCGAAACTTATACCATTGATTAAGATTCAAGAGGTTGAGAGAAACACTTCCATCTTGATGCAAACTAGGGCTTAAATCAAAGTCAGGAGCATGGTAAAAGATTTCAGGAGGCTTAGCTGGGTACTCAGGAGGGAAGAATATGTCAAAAAAGAACAATCCATAACAGTATGGAGTTCCTTCTAAACCAGCAATGCAAACCCTCATGAGATCAATTCTCGACTCGTAAGTTGTAACAAAAATCGAACTATGATCTGAAAAAACAGCCGCCAATGTTTCCCAGTCCTTTTTTATCTTTTTAGAAAAGCTGCTCCTGGGATTTGCATGCTCGCCAAATCTGGTGGCTGAAAGGATCCAGCTACAAAGTCTTTGTTTGTGCCTAAACTGATGGTCATGAGGAGGATATTGAAGCACCCTGAAGCTTTTGAATCTCTTGAAACTCCTGTCTACATCATCTTCTATCTCCTCAATTCCTTCAACATATGTTTCTTCATATTCTGTAGCATCCATGATAATTAGATCGAAGCAGCAGTAAATTAACACAGGCTTTTGGTGGGAATTAATTATAATTTGAGGGTTCCTTTATTTTTATTAACCGGAGGAGATCTAAAAGAAGCCTTCAGCGTTGTAGTGTTTGATGAAGAGTAAACAACTTCTAGTGATTGTATTCATCTTCGAATTAACTTCTACTATTAGATTTTATTGAGGAATCTGGCGTGATACAGGGTTTCGTCTTCTTTTTTTTTTAAAGTTTTTTTATTTAAAAATATATTAAAATAATATGTTTTATTTTTTTAACTTGTTTTTCATATCAATATATTAAAATTATATGTTTTATTTTTTTAACTTGTTTTTCATATTAATACATTAAAATTATATAAAAATACTAAAAAATAATTTTTAAAAAAATAATTTTAAAATATAAAAACTAACATGCGATTAATTTTAATCAACATAAAAAAATAAATCCAAATAAATGTCATTTTTTTTTAACATGTTTTGAAAACTCTTTAATTTTTTAACTTTAAATTATGTAAAAAAAAATTTAAATCATTTTAATTTACTAATTAAAAAATAAAAAAATTAATATTTTAATATATTTTTAAATAAAAAATATTTTAAAAAAATAATCTCTATAATATTTTCAAATAAATTTATAAATTGTTTTTATTTCATCATATAAGTATGTTTTTAAAAAAAATTATTTAAAAATTTATTAAAATAATATTTTTTTATATAGTGGGCTCTAGTGTCTGTGAATCAGGCCCACCTTCATTTATAGCCTTCTGGTTTGTTTTGGGCTTTAGATTTTCTTTAACCCAAAAACATGCGCAAAATGTAATTATAATACCCTGTTCGAAAGAAAAAGATAAAAAAGCAAGAAAGAGAAAGTCCAGGGCTCGTCGCAGCCACTAGGGTTCCTATCGGTGTAGCTGTAAGGATTTCCATTGGCTCCTCTTTCTGCAATCTCTTACGAAAACTAAAAAAAAAAACCAAAACCCTTTTGAGAGAGAGAGATGGCGATGATGGAGGAAGAACAAGAGGAGAAAGAAAGGCCAGTTATATTCAGAGATATAAGGCGGTATTATTGTGATTATTGCGGTATTTGCAGATCTAAGAAGTCTCTTATAACTTCTCACGTCCTCACTCATCACAAGGTTCGTCTTATAACATGACTTTCTGTTTCTTTCGTTATATGTTTGTGTTGGTTTAGTTAGTATTGTTGTTTATATTTTAATCTTTAATCGAATTAGGACCAAGATTGTGTCTGTGGTCAGTTTTATTACTGGTTAATTGTTCAGATTTTATTAATCATTATTCTGGGACTTTGTTCTTTTTTTATGATCCCGTGGTTCTTTTTCTTATATTTTATTTGGTATTAATTTACATGATCTTAAAGTTGCTTTGGAACCTAATTCTTTTGTGGGCTATTTAAGAACATGGCTACTTTGAAATTGCAGATTGGTTAAGTTGAATCGCAGCCTTACGATTGTTTTTTCTGTTGCTTAGGAGGAGATGGACGAGGAAAGTGTTGATGGGGATGAGGGAAAGGAGGGAGTCAAATCCAACACATGTGAGAAATGCGGTGCTAGTTTTAAAAAGCCTGCGTATTTGATTCAACACATGCAAAGTCATTCTCTTGAGGTATTTGACCATGATTTTTACCTTTATAGGTTGCTTGCACTCATGGTTTTGCTTTCAATTTGATTTATTTGTTCAAATGATTTTCTTTTTTTGATGCTGCTCAAAGTGGGTCATTTTGTAGCATTTGCACGAATTGAATAGTAAGTATTTTGCAGGAGTGCCATTTTAATATAGAAAAACATCTGAAAGTTAATGCGTGAGCATTGGATCCCACTCAGAGAACTCCAAAATGCGAGAGGCTTCAAGTTTGGACTTGAATGGACTAGTATCAGGCTGGGAGACCTCCTGAGAAGCTCCATCAAGCGAGCCTCAATCACGTGCCTGTTGAGTTTGAGGTTTGAAGGCTTTTGTTTGTGTCTATTGAGACTAGTTTTGGTGATCTAAGAAATTATTGCTTCTAATGTTTTTATTTCTTTTTTTGTTTTTCTGATTCTGATTCTGCAGAGGCCATTTAAGTGCTTGTTTGATGATTGCCATGCCAGCTATAGAAGGAAAGATCACTTAACTCGCCACCTTCTCCAGCATGAAGGGAAACTTTTCAGGTGTCAAATTGAGAATTGCAATCGTGAATTTGTTTACCCAAGCAACTTGAAAAGGCATATTAGAGAACTTCATGATGAGAGTTCTCCCTCCAGTAGTTTTGGAGGTGAGAAGCAGTATGCTTGCCAGGAGCCGGGATGTGGGAAGGCATTCAGATATCCATCAAAGCTGCGAAAGCACGAGGATTCTCATGGTAAGTTGCTTTATTTTCACTGATACACTAATATCACAGTTGATGTTTCTTGAAATGTGGAAGAGTTATTCAGGATTGGGAATTTCATCAATTTATCCTACATTCAATTTCTGATTATTATCTCTCTAATGCAGTGAGCCTGGACCACGTGGAGGCAATGTGTTTAGAACCAGGCTGTATGAAACATTTTTCAAATAAGGAATGCCTGAAGGCCCACATTCAGTCCAGCCACCAATACATTAACTGTGATATCTGTGGCACAAAACAGCTGAAAAAGAACATCAAGAGGCATCTCCGCACCCATGAACCAGCCAGTGATTCAATAGAGAGAATCAAATGCCATTTCAAGGGTTGTCAGCACACATTCTCTACTGTAAGATGTCACTAATGTTATATGATCCACTTTTCTATTTTTTATAGTATTTAATTCTGATTAGTGAGCCATTATCTGCTTACCTGGAATCTTTTTTTTTTTTAATTTGGTTTTTCCTATTTGTGTGCAGAAAACAAATCTTAATCAGCATGTGAAGGCAGTGCACCTTGAACACAGGCCTTTTTTGTGTGGATTTCCAGGTTGTGACATGAGATTCGCGTACAAACATGTGAGAGATAACCATGAAAAGTCTGGTTTGCATGTCTATACTCCTGTAAGTTCTATGTGCAGGTCTTTCAAACACATTTTGCTCATAAACGTGGAAATCTGTATTGCTAACATGTCTAGAAAATGAATTGGCATTCTGAATTGGATTACTTTTGGATCAGGGTGATTTTGTGGAGTCTGATCGGCAGTTCAGATCTAAGCCAAGAGGTGGGAGGAAGAGGAAATTCCCAACTGTTGAGATGTTGATACGCAAGAGAGTAACTCCACCAACTAAATTGGATGAGTGCCACCCATTGTTGCATGAAATTGAGAGAGAGGACCAGTAATGACTGCCCTACCGACCTGGATGTACTTGCATTCCCTGTTCATATGGAAGTTGTAATGTCTTAGGCATATTATGTTGTTATCATCTTTAGGATATTGGAGGCATCAATAGCATGGAAGGCGTTATGAATGGTAATATTGTGTGGTAATAAATATGTCAATTGCAGCTCTTTGGCCTCGGTTCTTCCTTTTCGAAAGGCGTCTATATTATCTTTCTAAGTTGAGATCGTGATTCTGTATAGTTTCAGAACCCGTTTGGAATTGAGTCTTGCCTCTTTTTTTTTTTTAGTGTTTTGTTATTATTATTTTGATTTGCTGAAATGAAAAATAAATTTTAAAAAATAAAAAGATTTTATTGTGAGGCAAATTGATTTGTTTGATGCGGCCCCTTTTTTACAATTTAATACATAAAAGGTTATATCCTCTTACCGTCCATCCCAAGCAGCAAGAAGTGATTCTGATTAACTTCTAGTGAAAAACATGGAAAAATAAATCACATCTTCTTTTTAATTTAGGGCTCGATAAGCATAAGCCTTTTCTAGCAGTCCTTGCAGAACACCTGCTACCGTGGCCTGAAACGCGCCTTCACAGCTCATTACAGGAAGCTTGTTACTTGGCTTGAAATGCACCTTCATCGAGGAACGTGCTGCTTTATAAAAGACCCGTAAAGGAGCCCAGACAACGTGCTACTTTATAAACGACCAGGGTAAAGGAGCCCAAACAGTAAGATTGCTTCTAGCACTATTTATGGCTTTAAAGTATCTTTCTTTGTATATGATACCGTCCATTTTATGTCCGAAACTACAGAACAAAAGAAGCGGATACGATCAGAGTCAAGTAAGAGGGTTTCTTTCCCTTCATGTGCAGCTTCTTTTCTAAAACATTTGACATCTGTCTTATTTGTCACCTCTTTTACCCTTTGAACAGCAACCGGAAATAGGCATTCAAGCAGGTCAGCTGGTCAACTCACTTCTTTGTCTGGTATGGCCATGGGAGTATTGAAATTTTTTAATTTATGGGTGCATTGAGTTGCCCTCAGGGGCATCAAAGCTGGACAGAGTTGCAGTGTATGTTTGTTTGTAAGGGGAGTTTTCTTTGTAACTTTACATGTTTGTTTGTAAATAAGCTAGAAGGGCTTAACGGTATAGCATGCAAGATTTGTGTATAGCATAAATATATAAATTTGTATATTTTTGTTGTTGTTGAAGTTAATAAAATTGTAAATTTTTTCTATATATTGTGTTAATTTTCTACCTCTTGACTTGTGTGGTTTTGCTTGCCTACAACTTGTGAGAGTGGGAAGAACTTATTGGATGTGGGAGACACTAAGTCATAAGCAAACACAAGTATAAAGAGTGAGAAAAGATCAAGTCCCGTCATATATAGCTGAAAAATCTTGATTAAAAATTGACCTTGTGACACAGAGTGTCTTTCAGTTGTTAAACCCTATGACAACATCTATTACAACACAGTTTAACATTTTAGCAACATTTATGACATTAACTCAAAGGTTAAGTTGTACTCACTCTATTGTCATTTATCATAGCAACATACACTAGTTGCTGATAAAAGTTAAAATATATGCAAGTAAAGAATGAATTTTTTATAATTGTCTTAAAAGATGTCATCGAAAGCATGTTTGTTATAGCAGCCCTTTGAAATGCATTACAAGGCAATTATATTAGAGGGAAATAAGTTGACCATGTA